GGGGTGTTTACCCGGCCCCGAGCCGGTGCGCGGCGGCTCCGCGCCCGACCCGCCGCCTGCTCTGCCTCCCGCGGGGAGCTGGGGGAGTGGGGGTTCCGGGAGCGGAGGGGGCAGGGGACCGACGACGCACATGCCGAGAAGGACACAGAGATGCTGATCTCGCTGGGGGCCAGATGCTGGAGCCAAAGGTCGGAGGACACCAGAGCGACCTGCGGACACGGCCTCCCCCGCCAGGCGCAAACCAGGGAGCCGCTTCTCCTCACCACCCTTGCGCCCCACTTCAGACTCTCAGAGCCCGGCCCCCTGGGCCTCACACTCTCCCTCCCCCACTCCGTTCGCCCTGGAAGGCCCTGCTCCCCTCCGCGGCTCTGGACTCGGGCTCCCGCGGGGCCTCGGGGTGGAGGCGGATGTGGGGAGGAGAGGGGCAGCCCCGCCTCCCGGAGGAGAGGGGAGCGCCTCATTACGCCGGGCTCGCCCGGGATGCCTCGCTCTTGGCGTCCGCTGCCTCCGCCGGGGACGTCCCAGGCCTGCAGCCCTCTGCCCTCGGGGACCTCCCTTCCAGTAACAGCCATGAGCCCTGGGGAGAGACTGTGGCTTCTGAGCCGAGGAGCGGGCTCCTGATCCGGGGAGGGAGACTGGGGCAGCCCCAGAGGCCTGGGAGGCGCATCTGCTAGGCAGATGGTAACTCTGAGGGGGCAAGGCGCGTGAGGAGGGCTCGTTATCCTCGCCCAGAGCCAACAGCACCTGCTCTCCCCCTGGAGACTGCCTTCAGTCAGCAGAGCCAGCCTGACCACAGAAAGGGGCAAACATCCGAAGGTCGTGCAACCTGCTGAAGGCGGGGCGGGGAAACACATCTAGGTCCCCCGTGAGGTCTCAACTGGCTCAGCCTGCTGTCCTGCAGGGGGTCGCATCAATAGTGAAAGAGCACCCTCAGGTTCCCTCTCCCCTTAAACCTAGAACTCCGTGTGTGGCAGGCTGGAGGGAAAGGGGAGTGTTTTGTAAGTGACATAACATCTGGTAGAGGGGCTCCCTGAGAGAAGCCAGCCCAGCGCCCTCCCCAAACTGTGTAAAAGGGTCCCCTGGCCTGCAGAAGCCAGACACCTTATGGAGAGGGGAGGAAGGGGGCTGAGAAATGAGAAACAGAGGCAATGCAGCAGATGGAATGGGCATGACCTTTGGATTCAGGCCTGGGTTTGACTCCCAGCCCTGTCTGCCAGCTGTGTGACCTTAGGCAAGTCATGTCCCCTCTCTGAACTCCCATAATCTCAGCTGTAAAACCGAGTATGTGGCTAGTTAGCTGCCTGTGTGCCTCGCAGGACTGTTATGAAAACAAAATGAATCAGGCTCCCGGTGCCTGGCTGAGAGTGGATGTGCACTAAACATTTGAGAAATGACTTAATGAGTGAAAAAGAACAGAAGCGCCTCATTCATTCCCGTTTCAGAGCCGGCAGAGCTGGCAGCATCCTTAGAGATGACCCAGTCCAACTTCTCATCTACAGTGGAAACTGAAGCCTGGAGAGGGTCAGGGGCCTGCCCCAAATCCCATGGCTTGTCAATGGCAGAAGCAGCAGGTCTGCAGCCTCCCTCCGCTCCTCGCCACAAGCTGCCCATCTCCATTCATTAAGGCTTTACTGCTTGTCTGCTTCGAGGTTAGCACCAGGCCAAGTGCTGGAAGAGAAAACAAAAGCATAACAAGCAGGATGATATAGTTGCAACAAGAGGCTTACATTTGTATCGTGCTATCTGTATTTTCCCCCGAAGCCTTTTCACATCCATTATGGACCGTGCTTCTCAAAATAAATACCTTTTGAGGTAGAAAGAGGAGACGCTGCATCCGTGTTTAACTGATGTTAGCAGAAAGAGGATAAGTGACTTGCCAAGGTCACAGGCTAGGGATGGCGCCAGGAGAAGCCACTCTTCCCAGCTGTGATTCCAGGTCCCTGTAGGGGACACCCCGCAGTGGTGACAGCATGCAAGGCTGGGACCACCCTACACATCTCGTACTCACCTGGCTCTTTCCTGGCTGCTGAGTTATGATGCAATTTACACACTGGGCGCCTGCCACAGTCCCACTGTACAGAAGGTAAGCAGAGAGGCACAGAGAGGGCTGACGGAGCCCTCCACGCACAGCATGTGAGAGCAGCCATCTGTTTACATCCCCCTCTGTTTTTATGTTTATCTTGCCTTGTTCCAAATGAGGGTAAAGGTAAAGGTGGCGGCATTACACCTTCCCAACTCAGCACCCACCCCTTACAGAAGCACACACCCCTCCCTGGCACTTCTCAGTTAGAAAAGCATCTCCGTGACTATTACCTCCTTAGAGACTTTCCATTAGCCTTCACAAGTGGCAGGACTGGGACAGTCAGGCCCATTTTACAGATAAGGTACCTGAAAGTTGAGTAATGTCTCCAGGGTCACAGAAGTTCTGCAAGGGAAAGTGTGAATCAGTATGGCATTCCTCCACCTCGCAACTGTCTCCATCACAAAGGCCTTACTCAGTCCTCCATTTTGTCCAGCCTTCAGTGGGGCATCCCTTTATCCTGGATCCCCAGACCTGGGTGCAGCCACATGCCTTGGGACTCCATTCCTGCCTTCCCCCACAAAGCCGAAGCTGGCTCTGAGCCAGATTCCCAGGGCTGTGTTGAAGATGCCAGATCCAGACAGAGGAATAGACCAAGTAAGGCAGGAGTGGAGGCTGCCCTCCCCACCAACCAGCAAGGAAGCCTGGCAGTACACAGTCTAGTGCAGTAGCCCAGGGTGAAGGGGGGCAGCCTTCACTGGGGCAGCCAAGTTCAAATCCCTGCTCTGTCCTTTCCTAATTCCGTGATCATTTCACCTCGTTGTGCCCCAGTTTCCTCATACGTCAAATGGGGATAATTGTTATTCCTATGTGGTGGTTTGTTCTGGGGAAGGAGATCATACATATGTCGTATGCCTGCAGCACAGTAAGTCCTCAATAGATGTAGTTATTTTTATTAGCTATTGACTCTCTTTGTGGCCTTGAATAAGCTGATTCTCTCCTCTAGGCCTCTGAATCTACACCACAAAATGGGAAACTTGGAGAAAATCACATCTTTTTTTTCAGCTGCAAAATCAGCCAGTTCTCCCAAATCTAAAGTAGATAAAACCTGCTTGAGGCAAAGGTGGGGGGCTTCCCCCTCAAACCTCCCCTGAAAGCTCCTTCACCAACCCTGGAACTCTGTAGAGCTGAGAACCACAGGACTGCACCATCTCCATGGGCCCTTCCAGCACAGACATTCTAGGGTTTAGAATATGCATTTGCAAGCCCCTGCTGTGCCCAGAGCCCACCACTAGTCTTGGTAGATAGAAAAAGGGAAAGTCTGCTTGGCATGCATTCGCTCCCTTTGTTCCCCTCCACTCTCTCCTATCCAGATGGGTAAACTGAGGCATGGGCAGCAGCATCAGAGAGTGATGGCGAGACTTAGAGAACAATGTGGCTGTTGGATACCTCAGCCCTGGGTGTGGGGCATCTGCTGACCACTCAGGCCCAGGATCCCATAGAGGTGGAGGCTGGGACTGATGAGGCTTGCCAGGGCTGGCTCAGACCCTAGATGGTCAGCAGGGAAGGCCAGGATGCTGTGCCGTGTCAATGGCCAGCTGGTCACCTCCAGAGAGGCTAAGTGGCCTCCCAGCAGGGGCCCACCACTCTGAGCCAAGGCTGGATAAAAACCCCACCCCTCTCAACTGGGTGACCGGAACCAGGTGCAGCCAATTCCCCACCTGCCTTGCAAGGCAGGGCCTCTGCCCCCACCTCCCCACAACATGCAAATGCTCACAAACACAGTGAGAGGAAAGTGTGTTCACTGACTGGGGGTGGTGTAGACCTAGAATCAAGGAACAGCAAGAGAAGAACTCATGCATCTTTCAGTCATCCTGCAAACATTTGTTGAGGACTTCAGGGCAGGCACAGTCC